CGACCGATAAGCCGTAATCGGACGAGTTTATGTCACGTAAAAAAAAAAAAAAAAACGAATAAATATACGAACGTATGAACGAACAAAGGAAGGACAACATGATAGATCCTTTACTACTCATTGTTTGTATTATCGTTCGTCTTGGTTATTTTACAAAGCACGTTCGATCGGTTTACATTCGGGCAGGAAATTTTTTCGAGGCAACTTTTGCTTGACAGATCCGGATACTTCGTTCTAAAGTTCCAGTGTTGTTTTCAAACGAGCTACAAATCGTTAAAAGATACACGGTTCCGAACGGCTTCCTCGAACAAGTCCAATATATCTAGTCTACGATGTTTCCTCTAATCCGCCGATCCACTCTTGAATTTATTCGTTCAGCTTCCGACAGTTCAGCATCCTTCGCGCTTCCATCTGCGAACGAAACGAAAGAAAATGAAAGATGCTTTCGATCAGTAACGCTTCCTCTTTCCTGAATGAAATTCTTAATTAAAAAGAATTCAACGCTCCAAGTATCTTTTTTAAAAATAATATTATATTTTAAATTGGCAAACGATAAATACTATTTTAAGCATATTAAAAATATTAAAAGTTAAGGAGATTTGAGATATAAATTTCTTCTTTTTTTCTTTTTCATTTTTCACGTTAAACATTTTCTGTTCTACGTCACGTGGGAGTTATGCTCCTTTCTACGTTCTCGATCTTACTTAGAAAAAAATAAATAAATAAATCGAAAGGAGCATACCTGTATCAATTGGTAAACGGTTAGCAGTTGTTCCAGAAACGGTCTAGTCTGTGAAGCGCATTCGGTTTTAAGGGCACCCCATTCGAGCCTTTGGTTTCTTTTTCCCCAACCAGTCGAGAAGTTTAGCTGGGCTTCAGTTCCGGGGTGCAAGGTCAAGCATAGTAGCAATATTATCGAGAGAAAGGCCAGTCGAGCCTTACGATGCCTACGAGACGAGAACAGCAGAAAACAAAACGAGATGGTCATTGGCATGAATGAATTCGAAATTGAGATACATATGGAAAGATGAATGCATCGATCATCGTTAGATGAACGTCAGACTGTTTGTAGGTGCTCTTGGTGGAGGAGATGTAACGAGGTCATAAATTAGAGCCATAGGTCACGAAATTAAGTAAACACTATGATTGATCTAGCCGTAGTTAGTACCATGTGCGTTCTGGAACGCGCGTCCTCATCAATCTGAAGGCACTCGAAAATTGCGACGTTTGAAATTATTTTAGTGTTCAAGCTGCAAACGTTGCTTTTTTGGCAGATTGAACTTCTAACTTCTTCGTTTGTAATTTCGTTAAAATTGTACTTAATGCAGTGTTAATCCGCCATTGCTTTCTATATTATAGTAACTCATGTATTGGTAAAAATTAACCGACAGCTGCAATAAAAAGTTTACAGCGAGCGAAAAATTCCGTCATTTTTATTCCTCGAAGAGAGAAGAGCCAGTTATTTTATACAAAATTTCTATTATTCAATCTTCGTCGTAACATTCATTTAGTCTGTCTCTTATTAATCTTCTATTCCTAGTATTGAGAATCTTTCTTACGAAGAGATCTCTTGATTGAAATTAATATTACCTCGCGCGTCATTATTTCTACCACAAAAGCTTTTCGTGTTTCCAGCTAATTTCACACACTTCTTGTCGTATGTTTAAAGTTGATTGTTATCTATATTTTGCATTAATATCAATTACGCAAATCGTTTCGTATTAACACGTCAGCAGCCGGCACGATAACTTTTAGTTATTCTTATTCGATAAAAACGAAATTTTGTCGATGATGCACGACACTGTTGGCAGTACAACGTCGGGATATTAAATTATAGAGAATAATAAGTTGAATACAGGGTGAATTATGTTCCTCGTCCACACACAGACAGATCACTTACATGTCGTCAGCAGGAATCGCATCTAGAGCGAGCAACGTGATTCGAAAAGATCGCCCTCTCCTCGTTTCTGAGCCTAAAGGATCGTGTGTCCGCGAGAGGTGAACACGTCTCTATGAGAGGGTAACGAGGTCGTGGACTTTTTTTATAGGTTCTCAGCAACCCCTTCTCGAGCCTGTTAGCTAATTCACAATGCAAGCCCCGTGTCGATGACGCGGGCAGTTCAGTTTTGTCATCAGTTCGATTGAAATCTGTGAGAACCAAGTCGTGTCGCAACCAAGTACGATCCAAGGGTTTCTTTCTCGTTTGGCGAACGTCACTGCGAAGCCCGCCGTGATTTTTCGTTAATTAACGTTCAGGTCCAGTGACTCGGGGAATTTCCGGCGTAGAAGAAGTCCTCAAGCCAGTACGATGAATATATTCACGACAGCAGAGAATTTCGCGATGATAGATCTGCAACGTGAAGAATTTTCAGTGGTTTGTTCCATATTGGGGTTGATTCACTTTACGAAGTGAATTGTGAAATGGTTCGAATACACAAAATTGATATTTTTAATCCGAATATTTTTTCTCGCCAATTGTGCTATGTGTTTTACATTACAATTGTGGTTATGGATATTAAACAAATTCAGAAAAATTTGGAATTATTTCTCTACATTTATTTACGAACGAATTAAATTAAGAAATTTAAAATTAAACTAGAAAATTATTTATTCGACCTTAACACGAAGCGAAATTAGTTTCTTCGAAATGGAAGTTACTACTCTGTAAAATCGACTTTACCCGCCTTCGAAATCAAATTTAGCCTGATTATCAAGAATGAATATGCTGTACATTTCGTTCTATGCGATTTATCGCACGAAAGTGAACGATAAATATACTATCAGCAATTGTCGCGAGCATCTCGCGTTGGCCTGAGAACTTCTTAAAATGCAAGCCATGTTCTCTTCTTCCAATGTCATCGTCTTTTATTATTGCTACAAAAAAAAGAACACGAAGTTACACGTATCTCCGACGACGGTAGATGGATCTCGCAAGTAAAGATGGAAGGTGTGCCTGTGATCAACTATCACATGTCGAGTGGGTCACGCGAATAAACCATATTTGGTCGCGCGTGCCCTGAACATAATTTACAAGAAGCCTGGTGCACGCGTATACTTCTGGCTAAACCGTGTTATCCACGACTCTCTTTTGCCGACGTCGTTTCGAAGAGAACACTATAAAGTTTCACTTAAGTCGGGCAAGTCACTTGAATTCAAGCAACAATAAATTCTTGACTTCACTTGATTTTATGAATATCAATCCGATCAATCTGTTAATGTTATTTCAAGGAAATTTCAATTATATTTTTCTTTGAAACATTACCGATCTTCTGGAATCTATCCTGTCCCATTGAGAGTTTCATTGAGAAGTATCTTTTGAGATTTTCAATTTGCTTCGTATACGTAACATCTGCTATTTCCAGCTTATCTTTCGCCAGACGTCTCGAAGTCAAGTCACTTGAACTCAAATAATTTCTCGAATTATTAAACGTGGATGAAGCACTTCAAGCACGTCGTCACTCTCGTACACTTAGTCGGCTAGATATCCGGTCGCGGAAACAGAACCGTCGTTTCTCTTTTTGTTCGCTTGTCTCTTTTCTTTAATTGTACATAAGG